TTTTTTTTTTTTTTACAGATATTCTGAAACGCACTTTGTCTATAATTTATTTTTCCTTCTCCAGTTGACAAAGAGCAAAATATTTTTTCTCCATTTTCATCGTTTTTATTTTAAGGCAAATGAGGCCAGTTTTAGTCATTTTTAAGAGACTTTAATTTTTGGAGATTTGTTCAGGAACTTGTTTGATCTGTGATCAAAAGTTGGCGTACCAAAAAAGTATATTTTGTCTGAATTTTAACCACGTAAATAGACATATCTAAGTATTTAAGGCAAATTAGTGTATTTTTAGTCATTTTTGAGAAACTTTTATTTTTGGAGATTTGTCAAGAAACTTATTGCTATACTGTAGTATTTTACTGTGATCAAAAGTTGGCATATCAAAAAAGTATATTTTTTCTGAAATTCTAACAACAGAAATGGACATAGCTAAGTATTTTAAGGCAAATGAGTGCATTTTTAGTCATTTTTGAGAAACTTATTGTCGGAGATTTATTCAGGAACTTATTGGTATAGTCTAAATGCCCTAATTTGTTGAGAAACATGCAGGGAATCGTGTCTATGAAGATTCTCAGTCATCCAGAATACGATCAAGGTTGAAGAGTTCTGTTCGGGAACTGGACATGAAGTTTTCAAATATATTTACTGTACATTTTGACAAAAAAAAAATTTTCTCTTATTGAGGGGACATTGTTCAGGTCTTCACTGAGTGAAAAGATTGTCTGAGGTTAAGATTGAGTTCAGAGTTAGGATTAGAATTCAAATCCAATAAATAAATACATTAAAGTTAGATAAGAGTTGGGTGGCTTTTTTTTCAAACACTCCACAACACTTGATCTAAATTCTTAACTTAATTCTAATCCAAACTCCAAAATAAATATCGAACCTCAAACCCCCATCTCACACAGTGTCGACGTAAAAAAAAGGCAAATTTAAACATATATTATCACCATTTTACGTTACATTGAAATCATATTAAGACGTTTTATATATATATTTATATATATATATATATA